GACGACTCACTCAGCGCAGCCACTGTCTTCACCTCTGGATCGTCGTTATCCACTGGCGTGGGCCGTGAAGACGTGGTCCAGTATTGCTCCGGCCTTTGTAGGAATTCAGGGCCTCTGAACCATCGACTGTCTGCACTCAGTTCTGTGATAGCCAGGCCACGCGAGCAGTCGTCCGCTGGATTTAACGAGCCTGGTACGTGACGCCATTGTTTGGGACTTGTACTATCTCTAATCTCAGCGACCCTGTTCGCTACAAACGTTTGGAAGCGGCGGCTGTCGTTGTTTATGTAGCCCAGGACCACCTCACTATCTGTCCAAAAGTATGTGTCATCGACTGGGGTCGTGAGAGAGGCTCCAATGCTGCGGGCCAGTCGAACTGCAAGTACCGCTCCCTGCAGCTCCAACCGAACGATTGTGAGATTTTTCAGTGGTGCGACGCGGGTGCGACTCATCACTAGAGCGCTACTGATGCTTCCATCCAAAAATAAAAGCCTTATGTAGCCCGCGGCTCCAAAGGCAGTCTCCGAAGCATCGCAGAAGATGTGGAGTTCTCGCCGAGTGACTCTCGATTGGCTGGACGGCTTATAGCATCGTGGAACGCTGAGCTCAGCGAGCATAGCTGCGCTTTCCTGCCAGCACCTCCAACGACGAAGATCATCGGCTTCCAGTACTGCATCCCATGAAATTTGCTTCTTCCACAGGTCCTGCATGAGCAGCTTTCCATGAAGGGTAAAGGGCGTCACGAGACCCAGTGGGTCGAATACTGACGCCAAGGAGGCGAGCACCCCACGTTTTGTCGTAGGCATTTTCTGATGACCGGGTGCTTGAATGCCGATGGTGTCAGTTTCTGTGTCCCACAGCAATCCGAGAACTCGCCTGGGAGGCTGTGGTGCGGATACATCCGCGTCCGGATGAGCTCTGTCGGCGGGGGCAACAGAAGTCAGAACCTCGGAGGAATTACTCATCCACTTCCGTAGCTTGAATCCTCCGCTGGCCGCACGCCTCGTGACGGTGTGCAGAAGATCGATGGCCGATTCCGTAGTGTCTTCTGAAGACACGTAATCGTCCATATAAAATTGCTGCGATATCTGATCCGCCAGCCATCGACCTTCTCCGTCTCTGTGATTTTCTATAGCTTTCCGAAGTGCGTAACTGGCAATTGCCGGAGAGCATTTGGCGCCAAAGATCGCTCTGGTCATCTCATACGTATCCGGTGGTCTGTCGCACTCCAAGTTTCTCCATAAGAAACTCAGAGCTGGCTGGTCCTGCTGTCGAATCCTCACTTGCAGGAACATCTGATCAATGTCACCCGCTATTCCGATGAGGTTCTCTCGAAATCGTATCAGGACGCCCGGGAGCTCCTGGAGGAGGTCAGGCCCTGTCAGTAATCGACTGTTTAGCGACACGCCGTGGAACTCAGCGGCCGCATCAAACACCATCCGGATCTTGCCAGGCTTGTTTGCATTTGACACAGCATGGTGAGGTAATAGCCAACGATTCTGGCTTGCCTTCGTCACGTCGCTGTTCTTTACCTTCCGTGCGTAGCCAGCCGTGACATAATCGTCGATGACTTCCTTGTACTTCTCTGCCTTCCCAGAGTCTCTCAAAAGTGACCTTTCTGTCCTTTCCAGCCGTCGAAGAGCACCCAGTCGATTGTCCGGCATTGAAACGTCGTCGGACTTCCACAGTAAAGGAGCTTCAAAATGCCCATCTACCAGCGTGGTGGTCTCCTCCAGGATTTTCACAGCTCGACGGTCATCTTGCGAGAGTGACTTTATGTCCGAGTGTGTCGAGCCGAACGATTCGGTGTCCCAAAACCTCTGCAACATATCGCTCAGTTCGTCCTCGCGTGGTGTGCTGCGATGCACGTGCATCACGTGCTGTGTCTCCGGGGGAACTAGGCCGCTTATCCTTCCAGAGAGCGACCAACCGAAATGGGTCCTGATGGCGACTGGCTGTCCCGGTCTTCCGACTCTTACTTCCCTCTGAAGTAAAGCTTCCAGCACGTTTGCACCCAGCAGTACCTGAATTTGGTCTGGCCGAGCGAAGGCGATATCAAGACCTTCCAGATGCTCCCATTTGGCGCGTGTGGCTGAACTGATTGGTGGAGAGGGGACATTCAGCTTCGGCACCGTCCATACCTCGCTGGCGGTTACAGAACCGGGCTCAGCATCATGCGACAGTGGCGTCAACTTTATTGATGTCTTCAGTGCCATGCGGCGCCGTCCACTCGTTTCGACGTTGTTGAGACTCAGAGACCGCCTCTCGCCTTTCAGTTTCAATTTATCGGCCAGGTCTTCGGTACACAAGGAAACCTGAGCGCCTGAGTCAAGAAGGGCGAATGTATCGATGAAGTTATCAATACCGTGAACTCGAACTGGCACGATTTGTAACATTGTCGTGTCTTCTTCCTGAGGTGTCGCTACTGCAACCGTCCGGGGATTCGCCGTCACTTCAGTGCGGTCGGAACGAGGGAAGACCCTACCGCTTCCGTGCAGCAGACGGTGATGTGTTCCTTGGCAGCCGCTCTCTCCGCATCGTTCCCCAGATGAGCACTGACGTGAGCGATGTCCATATTCTAAGCATACGAAGCACCTGCGGCTCTCTCCGACGGACTTAGCCCGCTCCTGAGGCGTTTGCCGAATAAAGACGGGACAATTGACAAGCTGGTGGTGTTCACCGCAGATGCAGCATGGTTCCGACTCTACCTTCGGAGCAGTCGTCAGGGTCGATGCGCTCGAAGCGAGTCGGTGAGTCAGGCTCCGTGAGTTGTCACGGCGAGGCGGTTTTCTCATCTCAGCGGATCTCACTGGGACCGTTGACAGGATTCGAGCCTGCCGGCCCAGCCACTGGTCGAAGTCTCGAAGGGTTGCCCGCTTTGGCTCAGCTGCAACAGCTTCGCGGCTCCATTCGCGTCTTAGATCGTCCGGAAGTTTGAGCACGACGCGACGGAGATTTTCTGTGCTGCTGAGGTCTCCATCGTAGCCCATGTTTTCAAGCACTGAGACAGCGCAGTGCACCACCGAGTAGAAGTTTTCTAGTGTGGTTGGGCTGATTTCCTGCATAGGAGGGAAGGTAAAAACGGCGGAGAGCCTTCCGTTCACGATATCTCCCTCTCTTCCAAACCTCTCCAGTAATGTTTGAAGCGCGATTGGATACAGTTTTCCATCATAGAGCATCCCTTCGACGGCGCGCTTAGCGAGGCCAGTCACCGAGGACTGAAGGTGAGCAAGTTTCTCCGAATTCGATAAGCCTCTCTGGTCGTGTATCAACGTCTTGAAAAGCCCAATCCACTGTGGCCATTCGATTGCGGCCCCACTGAATTTCGGGAGCTGGATCTGAGGAACGCTCCGATAATTTACGTTCCTTGCGTCAGCTGATTCAACGTGAGAGGAGCTGGAAATGTCGTAGATCCAGGACAGGTGTGAAGTTTCTTGATAAGTCTTAGTCGCTCCAACCGGCGTGGTTGGTTTGTCTGGAGCGTCTTCCTTTGCCGTTTTGCGTCCTCCCTCAACGATGGCGCCTGTTGTCGTCTCTTGGCAGACTAATTCAGCATTGTGAACGGCTAGAACGGGGGGCATAGGAGAAGTGTTTGGAGGCGCATCACTAGGACTTGGATGATTACAATCGTTAGCGCCATCAGCTTGCGCCTGGCTTGCGGTACCAGCGTTAGCCGCCGCCTGTTCCGGCTGGCGACAGACCTCTTCTCCCGACGAATTTCCATTAGGAAAATCATCGATTCGGTCCCAGCAAAGTTCACTCTCCGCCGCCTTGCGCAGTTCCGCCTCCTTTGCTGCGAGCTCTGCTTCGTCACGGGCTTCAGCAAGGCGAGCTGAGCGAGCAATTTCACGCTGACGACGCTGATTTTCTTCTTCCTGCTGCTCCGCCTTTCGTTCCGCCTCGAGGCGGCGCGTCAACTGCTCCACACGCATTTGTTTGAGTCGTGCTTCGATCTGAGCTTCCTTTAAAGCGGTGGACGCTTGAGAGCTCGATGAGACGCGTGAGTGACTAACTGACACGGACTTGGAAGAAGTGACATCTGATCGAGTGGCATTGGCTCGCAACTCCAAGTGCGACTTTATCTTAGAGACAAGAAGCCTGTGCGTTTCTTCTATCTCTTCAATGTGTTTTTCGGCAAGTTCTCGTTCTTCAGCGTTTTGTAGCTGATCTTCGTACTCGTCACTTATGGACAGTATTTCTTCCAGGACATCGTCTAAGTCCTTCAAGGATTCGGCCAGCAAGGTCGTGCTTCCTTGCGCCGACATTAGTGCCTCCGCTCTGGCACATATTCGGGAGAACTTGGCCTCCTTTCTCGATCTGATTCTTTTCAGTCGATCACTCATTTTCGAATGTACTAGTAGACCGTATCGACAGGCGAATGCCTATCCGGCCCGGAGGACCAAAATGTCATGGTTTTACGCATAACACACGAATTGATACCGCATTAGCGAAATCGAGGATATGACAACGTTATTGTTCTATCTACATATATTGCGAGATAAAATGAACGAATAGGTACTTTACGATTAATCACTGCTTCAAGGACATCGAATCTAGTTTTGTTTACTTCTCAAAGGCAATAAAGTCCCCAGTCACGTATTATATTATTACAAAAAAACATCCCCAATGAACCCCAGAAAAGGACGACCACGATCGAATCGAATGAATCCCAAGTCCCGAATCGAACAATTATCGTCAGACATTCCGTGACACTAAATTGACATCAGCGCGTGCGACATTCACGCCGGAGCCGTTAGTTAAACGGCGACAGACATCATGATTTATTCTTCATGCGTTTTGCACTACCGCAAAACACTTGCGGCTTCCTTAGTCCCCGTTTAGGTCATATTACCACATCACTCTTTCCTTCCTGTTAGCCAGGAAAACTGACTCGTCGGGGATTACCACATCATAACACTGCCGCGAAATCCCCATCGTTTTCCACTCGGTTGCGTTGGCGGCTATGTTGAATTTGACCGGGGATGTATTCTTGGTTTCAGGTGTGATGTCGCTGCTGGCACCGGCACCACTCTGATGCAAGCCACGACCCAAGTGTGAAGTGAGAGGCCGATCGCGCGCGACCAGACTACCAGTTCGCAGCCGAAATGAACTCGGGAATGTCGAATTTCAACATCAAGAAGTCGTTTGTGTGGAAGTATGGACTCTCCAAACTCCATAAGAAGAAGGTAAGCTGTTTAGACGGAGCCTGAGCACGATCTCGCTGGTAGCCGAAACATTCTGACAATGGCCCGGTGGAATTTCGCTGCCATTTAGCGCTAATGGTTCTGCTTTTGTTTACTGCCTGTCATCGTTTCGTCCTTGGCAATCTCTGACACGATCGCTTTCACTACATGACCTGACGCTAACGAGAAATTCCAGGAACGGGCACGGTCGTAAACATTGACTCATGGACTCATGGATGATTCTGTACCATCAATGGTAGTAGCCAGAACAATATTGTGACTCACAGAAGTATCAGGCGTGGCTCAAACTTCTTCGGCTAGGAATCATAAATGTTTTTCTTTGGCTCTGTATGGGATACGGGATCTACATGGATATAACTTAGGCCAGTAACAGCGCCACGATAGTTACGGCCGTTTACCAAGTTTGTTTCTGATAACCTACCATTGCGTGACCATAGACGCATCCGATCTGTAGTCATAGTAACTTATCTTTTATGACATCATGCGCATCAAATGTCCAGCTAAAACCAAACAAAGACCCAGCTTAAACAAAAGTATGTCCTTGTTCGTAAGCAGATATATTCTACGTGCGTCTGCCTTTTTCCCTCCCCATTGCGTCATGCCCCGCGGTCACTGGTCGGTCCCTTTGAATCGTATGTCGTCACGGAGTCCGGCGGATGTTCGACAACTCAGGACACAGTGCGGCGCGCACCTGTTTGCCCATGGCCCGGCGATAAAACACACACCGGTCGTAAACGGCCGACCTTGGAGGAATCCGGTGTTTGAGGTGACCAAATTTTGGGCAAGTGAAACTAGTTTGGCTTTCGAGGTTGGATTGTGTTTTATTGGCAAAAACTAACACAGTGTCGACCCAAATAACCAGGTGTGACGAATGTCATGAATAAGCCAAAGTTGCTTTTTACTCTCCATGACAGTGGTAGCGTTTCGGACTTCACTTTGATCCAAGGACCTTTGATATGCTAATGCGTCGAAATGACAGTGCCATTAGGGAGTTTGACGCTTGCTTGTCGCCTCACACCGGACTGGACATTATGGTAATGGTGTCACAGCTGAATAACGCCGAAGCATAGCCACTTGGGTCCTAAGCGAGGGAGACTCGTCAATTTTTTGCTGATAACTTGCCAGCAATACTGACTGGGTCATGTTTTACGCTGCTTTTGTTATAGCGATCTTGACATTTTATTGAGAAATCTTTAATAGTGTCAAAAACGTCCGGCTTTTGATCAAAATTGTTAAAATCAACAGGAACAATTATTATTGTGCATTATCAAATTAGTTTATGATTCGCATTCCGCTTGGTCGAAGCATACCTGTCTTTATTTTTTTTTATCATGCCTGTACTCATCATACACAAATGCACCTCAGCATGTTACCTACACAGTACACTCAACAAAGGCAATGAGCATGGGACCAATGCCCAACTCACGATCCTTGCGCAGTCACCCAATTCCATCTGTGACAAACCCCCCTCACTGCCCTGGTTATCGAACCTCTGGGAGCGATCACCGGACGTACATACTCCTACAACCGTTATACACGACACCGTGGGAGAAACACCCGAGATGCCCGGCGATTCAGACCGGTCGTACGAAATAGGGCCGGCGAAACTGCGAGCTGCGCGATATGCCGCGGAAATGTAACAGATGATCCGGATTGATTGGTGAACTGGTTTCCATGCGAGACTTGTGGGTAATGCGGATAATGAATATCTGGAGCGAAACAAGAACGCTTAGCTTTTGATGACAGAACTACGTAGCTGATAAGCACCTTTGAAAGTGCCTGTTTGTTGAGGTTATTCCTATGCCGTTTCGCATCAAGATGATTCTCTAGTTGGTCTCTATGGAGGCATGTAGTGCATCACATTATCACAACCCTTTCTCATTAAAAGAAATATGCACTGTATTTATGGCACTGCGAATGCACACATCACAAAGGCACACGTATTTCTCATTACGATAAGCAACCATTTTTTCACAAATGCCACTGAGCATTTCCGGTGTTTCGCCTGCCGTCAGTCGCATAATGTTGACGCGTTTTGAGTTATGACCCATCAAATGTAACCAAGCTTACGTCAAACTACAACTATGAATGGAGAAACGCATTAAAGTGACCATCCCACCTTAACATTAGTTTTGAGTTGAGATAGCCAAATTGGTGGCCATGGCCTGCAAATACCGGTTTGGGTACTCACAACATCGAAAAATGCTTTAATTCGGAGATATGGAATTTCAAACTTGCAGTTTTCGGATTCTAAGGGGCTAATGCATTGAGATGCCCCCTTAGAATTTGTGACGTCAGCGGTGATCTAACGATTTTAAAACCTTATACTAACATCTTTGTAAAGCAGCGGTGGTAAATGCTATTTGCGCGCAACATCTGCCGCGAACGCCGCACTTCCAAAATGAAGTCGCTAGGAACAGCGGAGATCCCAAAAAGGTAAACAAAAGTAGAAGTCTAATATCTTGAAAACCGGTGAATATTTTTCGGTGAAATTTGGTAGATATTCGTTTTTGCTCTTTCTGAATCGAGCGACATCACTTTCATGCCAATTCATTAACTTTTTTGAAGGTGGGAGGGTCCCTTTAACCCTCGCCGGCCGAGGGGGGGGGGGCGGGTGCCGCCCCCCCATAGGGTTTTTTCGCGATAGCTCCGAACACGCTGGCGATAGAGAGCTGAAACTTGGCATACCTGACCTTTGATTCAAGCCGGATCTTTTGACACCAACCGCATTTTTGGGTCAGGTCAGGTCACTGACCTATGACGTCATAAGTGAACCTCTGCACGGTCTTCAGATGTCGCAACTTCGCAACGCCCTCACTGCCAGAGGAGATGTCACAGGGAAATGAAACTTGCAGGATGTAGTATCCATTATAAGTCCCACAACTTGTATATCTCGGATTTTTCCTAAAGGTCATATGAGGTCAGGTCATTTTCGTGACTTCACCATTATAAGTCAATGAGGAAAAATTCAAACTGCTATTCTGGCGCCGGGAACGATCTCCAACTATCTCAAGCACACAGAATCGTGATTTGATGCACTCCTTGCAAGGTTAGATGCGTCACTTTTGCAATGTTGACCTTGCGTGACGTCATTTATGACGTCATCAAGGTCATATTAGTTTTTCGTCAATAACTCTTGATCAAATTGAGCTAGCGAGTCGGGAAAGCCACCAATGGACTCAGGAAGACCTGCCGAATCGACTGATATGCGACATGACCCCTTTCGACCAATTTCGTGACCTAAGGGTGCTGACCTGACCGTGACCTGAGGTCAACATCCCAAGTTGACCTGACCCGAACAAAAAGTATATCATTCGACGCACCTGAGCGAGGCGAACACGATGCTGCCAAAATCGCGGCTCTGCGGCCGTTTTTTGCGAAGTTATTCACCAAAAACTGAACCGTACCTTGGGGCACTTGACCTGACCTCAGAGTTCACCGGTTGACCTAGGACCTTAAAATTGGGTACCAATCTCTGCGTCTCATAACGGCGCACACGCTCGTTTTTTCCGCGACGCGCTAGCTCCACCAGGGGCGAAACGGCGAGGGGGGGTCGTACCCGCCCCCCCCCCCCCTCGGCCGGCGCGTATGTAGAAAACCAATAGGTCCGGCGAGGGTTAAAGTAGTTCGCTTGTTATGTCACGATAACATTGTCCTCGCAATTTGCCTCTTCGGTGTCTAAGCTGCTTACCGCCCTCACACATGTGATGTGACTAGGTACATCTGACGTCACACTGTGTGACGTCACAACTCTGACGTCACTCTGCTCATTTACAGGCTGAAGAGGAGTGTGAGCCCGAGACTGACGCGGCCGGCGACGACGACAGAGCGTCTCTGTGCTCCCTGGAACCGGACCTGGCCCTTCAGCCGCAGTGGGAGCCGCTCGTGTGGACACCGCCCGACGATCCGGGCACCCTCCCCGAGAAGCGGCGCTCCCTGGACCCGCCGGCAGCGGACGCGGTGACGGCGGCGACGTCTGGACAGGCAGCAGCAGCGACAGCAGCGGCGGCAGCCACCGAGACGGCGCTGCCGGGATACGCCGTGGCCGGCTGCCGGCGGGTCTCTGTTGACGGAGAGCTGCCCATCTACGAGTCACTTAGTGAGTATGGCGGGGCGCTGGCGGAGGACCAGCAGACGCTGTACGAAAACGACACCGATGAGGAGCTCTCCGGTCCGCTGTACGAGAACGGACCGATCGCGCCCGTCGCCGTGGGCTCGGCAAACGATTCTGATGATGACGATCAGCCGATCTACGCAAATGGGAACGTGGTGCAGGAGCCTCCGATTTATGAAAACCTGTTTGAGGAGGAGACTGTGGTGGCTCGGAGGCCGTTGAAGGCTCCGACGAAGGCGAAGGTGGCGGCGTCGGGGGAGGAGTCGCAGTACGATGACCTGCGTGTCGAGGTCAGGTCAGACCACGGGTACGACTCGTACCAGTCGCCGGCTTCCGACTCGTCCGGGGCCTCGTCGGGATCGCGCCGCTCGTCGGGAACGGGCGATCTGATGGGCGCCTCACCCAAACAGGAGGGAGAGGGGGAGTCTGGCTCCTCACAGAGCGGGGAGTCAGAGCCGCCAGCAGGAGCCGGTCCCCCTCCCCCTCCCCCGCCACCCCCGCCACCGCCGCCGGTGCCCACGTCAATGCCGCCAGGAACGCTGTCGAAGCAAGGATCAGGAAAAGGAAGTAATGCACGGGAAGCGAAAGCTGCGCTAGAGACACTAATCAAGGCAGCATCAGAAGCAATGACCAAACCGCTGGGACTTGAGCAGGATGCCTCGGTAAAGTCGACATCGTCGTCGGCAAAGTCGGAGCCGACACCGGGCAAGGCGGAACCAAAGAAAGCGCCGTCGGTTCAGGGACAGCCCCTGTCACTCTCCGAGGTCCTCTCGCCAGAGTCGCTTATGTCTGCCAAACAGGCACTCAGGCAGTCCCGCGTAGTAAACATGGCAAAGGCGCCGGGTGTGAAGCGACCGAAGATGGTGCCCGTTCCAACCATTCCTGTGTACAGAAAGAGCTCCGATCAGCAGCCAAAGGAGGCGAAAAAGGAAATGTGCGGCAATAAAAACTCAGGTGACAATGGAAATAAAGCAAAAGATGAACGGTCGGGACCGAAGTCGCTGCAAATGGAAAACAAGCTCGCCATGAAGCTGGCGGAGATCGGTCCACCATCGCTGGCTAACCCGTCTCAGGATAAATCCAAGCCAAAGCCTGACACTCAGTCCCCGTCAGGCAACTCGCCGAAGCAGAACTCCAGTTTCCTGCACGCTGGCCGTGCCGTGGGCAAGCTGGGCGACAACGTGGGCTTTCAGCAGGCTAGGAAGGCCATCGCTCAGGCGCTGCACCGCCGCGCAGCGCCGCCGGAGCCCACTCCTGAGAGGCCGAGGGTGCCGTCGTTTACGACCTTCTATGGCGAGACGGGCGTGAGTCGACCCGACCTGACTGCGCCCGTGGAGCGGGTGGCTGTTACACCCGGGGTGATTCCGCCGCCGCCTCCGCTGCCGGGACAGAAACTGACGGCACCGACCGTGACACATAGCTCAATGCCTGACAAACCAGCTGCTCTGACTCCGACCAAGGAACCTCCCGAAACTCCCACCCAGCACTCCCCCGAAACTCCTACCACGTCGTCCGAGCAGGCTCATGACAAAGTTTACACTCTAACTCCTATCAAAATCCCCACGACAGCGGCTCTGCAGACTGGTCTGAAGAAGAAGCTGGAAGCCAAGAAGAACAGCATGGCCGCCGAGAAACTGCCGCAGAAGAAGAAGAGGGTGGCACCGAAGCCGCCGGACAGGTCTCTGTCCCTGCCTGGCTTCGGTAGCTCCAAACTGGACATAGCCAAGGCGTTTGAAGAGTTCAAAAGAAAGGAGGAAGAGAAAGAACGCGAGGAGAAGAAGCAGAAGAGTAGCTTCCTGGAAGAGCTCGATTCCAAAATGTCAAAGAAAATGGCGTCGTTAAGTGGGAAAGGAAAAAGCACAACAGTGAAACTAAATACTGAAACGACCAAAGAGAATGACTGGAATAGTCACGTCAGTAAAAAGGACTGTTTGGGAACACATTCCTTCAATAAGTTCGAATTCACTGATTACGACCTCATAAAATCGATGATTTTCCCGAAGAAAACCGCCAACAACCCTGGTGCGCACCGCATATCAAAGCGTGAGGCCCGAGAGGCGAAGAAGAAGCGCCAAACACCGAGGATTCCGAGCAGCCTGATCTGCGCCAACCTCCCTGAACAGCCTATCGTTGTCGAATCTACTTCCGACCGCGACTCTCCTTCCGAGCGCACCTCTCCCGTCTCTCCAAAGCCCGAGTCGACCAGCTCGTACGAGGCCGTCCGCGAGTCCTCCGAAATCACCATTACAGAGCGCATCGACCCCGACTCGCCAACCCGAAAGGCTGATACCCCCGACGATGATCGATTCCGCGTGGCTTCCCTTATCACCCCCGACGGCCGCACTTCCGGCGCCGACCGGAAGCTGGCCTCTTCCGGTGACGACTGGCTGTCTGCCGGCGACTGTTCGCTGCCGGGAAGTGACTGCTGCGTCACTGTGGGTGGACTGCAGGTGATCCGTATAGCTCCAGAGGAGCCTGTCGAGCCGACACAGCCACCTACAGGGTCCATCTCCCTGACCGTGACGGCGGACCCGGCCGCGCACAGCCCGGCGCCGGTCGGGGACAGGGTCGCGCTGCAGGTGTCTCACGCGCGCGGACTCTTCCACTCGTCCGTGGTGGAGGTGAAGGCGGCAGAGAGCTGGCCGCGCCCTGCGCCGGCCGAGGCTCCCGTGATGACGACATTCTTCAGCTCGCCCCAAATCGAGCCGGTCGTTCGGGCTGACTCGCCTGTCGTTCGTCCCGATTCGCCGGTCGTTCGACCCGACTCGCCTATCGTTCGGCCCGAGTCACCTGTCGTTCGACCCAAGTCACCTGTCGTTCTGGCTGACTCGCCAGTCGTTCGACCTGACTCGCCGGCCGCCGTGTGTGACCAGGAGGCTGAACCAGTGACCCACGCAGACGACTGTGTGGCGCCGCTGGTCATCTCTGTCTCTGAAGTTGAGAGACAGTTTGAGCGGCTGGAGCAGGAGGAGGACTGGCTGGAGGACGAGGAGGAGGAGGTGGAACTCCGGCACTACTGCGGGAGGAACCTGCTGATGACGGCCGGCGGGGACGACACATTCATCGGAACGCCACAAAGTAAGTGCTAAACCCTTCTTTTTCTTCGCATGCTTTACTTATCTTTTGCACGCTTGTGAATGAAAGATGAAGAGTGATTGGTAATGTTTGGTCTGTATTGTATTGTATTGTATTGTATTGTATTGTATTACCGTCATGGACAATCCACACGGGGCGTGGCGATTACAGTCCAGAGTCTGAGTCGGCCTTTTGTCTGTAAACATATGTGAGTTGTGGCGCGTGAGTTATGATAAGCTGCATTCAAGCAATTAGCCATAGCTCTTAGCCTTAGCTCCCAGCCGTAAATCGGTGGTCTTTCACTCTCGACTTTCGTTGCAAAGACAGCGAAAGCTCTCACGATACTATAGTATATGTACGGTCATTTGCTAAACACTCATTGCAATTAGTTTTACAAGCGATGTCCCAGCATTAATGACATTTTCTCTCGTATAATCGGATTGATTAACGGCTGAACTACTCTGTTCAGCTGCGAACGGGCTGTGAACGGGATTTTATCAGCTGCCAACGGCTGTTCGCTCCTTCACTCCCATTCATATGCTACCAGTAAAACGCCTTTTGGGCGAAGAACGAGCGAGCGAGATAGTGAGCCCTGCACGTGCGGAAGGGCGAGAGGGTGTTTCCAACGGGCTTGCGCAAAGCACCCTTCTAACTGGTCGCTAGCGGTGTGCCAAATTTGAACGCAATCGGCCCAGCCGTTCCTGAGATCTGGAAGCGGCATTCTGCACGTGCGCACGTGCAAACGGGGTCCAAAATGACTTTTGCACGGTACCCTACTAACTGGTCCCCAACCGTGTACCAGATTTGAGCGCAATCGGCCCAGCCGTTCTCGAGATCTGGAAACGCCCCGTGCACGTGCGCACGTGCAGTAGCACCCTAACCGCAACACATGGGAATGCATTGCCTGGTGGGTGCCTACCTGTATGCCAAGTTTCAGCGAAATCGCCCCAGTAATTACCGAGTTACTGAAATGGGAACAAATTTGGCACCTCTTATTGTTGTATTTTGCACGTGCACTGGGGGTGACCCACATGCATCGAGAGTATCCTATTTTGGGTAGAAGGGATGCTGCTACCCTATAAAAATTACCGCAAGTCAATCGCCCAAGCGGCTGCTGAGATATGAGCCTCTCAAAATCACTACTTTTGCAAAACAGCTTGAACACCCTTGACTTTTCACGTGGCACGTGCCACGACGGTGACTGAGATGTATCAAAAGTAGTCAATTACGGGTAGAAGGGATGGGGCTACCCAACAAAAAAGACCGCAGGCCAATCGGTCCAGCGGTTGCTGAGATATAAGCCTCTCAAAAGCGTTACAGGCCGGGCCTGGCCGGGCCGGGCCGCTCATACTGAGATTTTTCCGTTATATTGAAAAGACTCACTTCGCTCGCTGCGCTCGCTCGCTCGTAATCAGTCGGATGGGTGTGAAGCAACCCTGAGCTGCGCAAAACCGAACGGCCACATATCACTCACTGATTGGCTGCGGACGGTAATAATAGCACCCAGTGTGCATATTCATCACTCCGCTCTGCACACTGCAAAACGTCGTGCGCAGTTCATCATCTTGTCACAGAAAGTATTTATAAAAAGTGTTGCTTTCGAAACTGCCCAATTATATGCTGGTTTAGACCGTCTAAACCGTTTTAGAGCTCGGCAAAGCGCTTTGCTAAAAAGCCATGAAGCACACATTCAGCCCTCATCACGCACTTTTCAAACTCATTCGCAGTCATTAAGAGCGCTGTTAACACGCATTCGTGTTAGTTACTGTAATGGAGGTGTGTTCACACGCTTGTAATCATGCACGCGTGCACAATGTATCACTGCGTGCACGCTCATTCATGACTCCTTAGGTGACGTGCAGCGGCGCAGTGTGTGACAATCACCAGACATTTCCGGTGCGTCTGAAACTGTGACGGAAGTGACATCGACGCCGGTTAAACATGCCGTGACCTCTAGACTGCGCAGTTCCGTGGGTTCGGCCGGTGTTTCTGACGTGTGGGGCTGTGGATAAAACGTGCGCTGAATGAATCGGCTGTCGTCTCGGTGAGAACGATACGTTACATTGGTTCTGGCGGTTATATAAACGAGTCGCATTGTTCTGCGTGGCCTTTGAAACTACCGTTTTATTGGCCGAACTGGGTGAACTGGGTGAATTCATGCCGCAAGGTTACAGACCAGACATGGCTACACCCAGGGCGTCAATGTGAGCGCACATCTTACCCGAGGCTGGGCGTCGTTTCGCTACTTTTCCATCCCGCACCTGGGTGTCGGCCGGGCCAGTCCCGCCCACCTCGATCTCTCATCCTCCGCCGCCGAGGGCCGGATCAGACGACACACGAGGTCACCACTTCCCATCGGCAGCGGCGCCGTGCCGACTCTCCCGGACAGCGAGTGTCACACCGGCGGCGCCGCGGGGCCGCCGGGTCACCACCAGGTCACCCCGGGTCACCGCCAGGTCACAGGAGGTCACGGTGCCCCCGTTGGCGGCGGACGCTGTCGCAATTCGTGCCGCCGTGACGCGCCATCCGCCGCCGCCGCTGCTGCGGGGCGCTCAGGTTCAACTCTCGCTTCCCGTCGGGCTCTTGTCGGTGAATTTACGAGCTGCAGCAGCACGCGGCCTTCAGCGCGATGGGAGGTGTTTCTGGGTCGTCGGAAACTGAGCGCCGCGGAGGGTGAGACCTCATCCGACCCCTGTCGCTGCTGACGCCTCCCATCCGTCCGGCCGGCCCCGGCGCGAGCTGCCAGATACACTGACACCACCAGAGCGGTGCGGAGAACGGCATAATCTGGGCCGACGGTGGGAAACCTTTCTGTAGGGGCGCTCTGTGATCTGTCTGCAGAGGGAAAGGTCATGCGAGGGCTCCACGGCGACTGAAGTGACGATGCTGGGTCCTGGTGACGAGCAGTTTTTGGGGAACGAAGCGGAGACGTGGTGAGTCATTCCGGAATGCTGGCTCACTCACGAAAGCTTTACCGTCGCTTCCTGAATAGAATTCCAGAATCGTTGTCATTGCTTTCCAGATGTCGCAACCGCCATCAGTCGCCATGAGATGTCGGTCGGTGGCCTCGTGTTGCGTTTTTCCGCGACTGTAAGTGACAGGAGAGCTGTTCCTGGACGGACTGGCCGGCTCATACATCCCAATCAGATGGTCGTGCCGTGGCTGCTTTCTCTTCAGTCGAGGAGCCGGCGCGACGTCTCGTGTGCCATCGTGCGTCGACCGACTCCTGACGCATGTCTGTCGCGCTCCTGTTACTCTTCCCACTCTCATCACTCTATCCTCGCTCTACCCTCTCTCCTCACTCTCTCTGACTCCGTCACTCTTCCGACAGCTCCGTGATGAAACGGTCGTCTTCGCTCGATGCGCAACGTGACGCACGCGTGCGCCGTGACCTGCTGCGTGACGCAGGTGTCTGTCCACCCTGTGGACTTTCCGCCCGGCACCTGGCGGTCGGCTCCTCCCGTTTGTGTGTCTGTCTGGATGCTGTCAACACGGCAACACTTCTGTTGCCACATCTCGCAGTGCAAGTTTTGGTTGAGAAACTTCTGTCTTGGCTCGGTAGATGTTTCTTGGAGTATCCACCGGCTTCCCTTATTATGGCTACTGACTTCGTTGGAACAGGGAACTGCGTAGTGCGTGTCGTGGACTCGCTGAAGTTGAATGGTCGTAGTTTTAAGCGTGAAACATTGATCGTCAGGCGTCTGTTTTTATGGCTTTATATCAGCTGATAAGGTATCCAAGATGCTGGTGTTTGTCATCTCTATTGATTCTCCATTTTCCGGTGCTCTCAGCTCGTGACCTCGGTCCTTTCATGGCTGCCCTCCGGTCCGGCCGGGCGTGACCTCTGACCTCCAGTCCGGCCGGGGTGTGACCTCTGACCTCTGGCCCGCCCGGCAGCTCCCGGGTGACGTCTAATGGGTCATCCACTGTCCGAGTAGTTAACCATTACCGACCCGGAGACTAATCGGTGGGGAGTGGTAGGGAGAGGAGCTGAATCAATCGTACTCACGTGAATAAAATTTGTGGCCATTGTGTCGCACAGATGCTTGGACGGATTACTGAGCGTATAGGAAGGCCTTAAATTAATTATTATTCATTTGTTTTAAACAAAGACTAAAGCTAATGTTTAAAAATTGAGGTTTTTTGCCCGACGTTTCGCGTTTATTGCTTATTCATGGGCTAATGCTAAAACATGAGGGCAAAAAACCTCAATTTTTAAACATTAGCTTTAGTCTTAGTTTAAAACAAATGAATAATAATTAATTTAAGGCCTTCCTATACGCTCAGCAACACTTGTCAATTTATATACTTAATTGGACAGATTACATAGTTGATGGACCGGTGATTCGAGTCCCGTCCTGATTGTGATTACGTCAATTCTGCTTTTTATCGCCGTTGTAAAGCTGTTAATGGGCTATTTGTTTTTGTCAACGCTATCTATTATCTCTCACAAATTTGAACGCACTCTTATACTGGGTCGCATACGGTCTCACACGCCGACCGCCGTTGCTAATTTGTATTAGTTTGTGACTATGTCGCCACTGTGTTGTATCTATCCCCGATCTCTCTGGAACCGGCTGACAAGTCAAAACTTACCTGCTGATCAGCTGGTAGTCGTAACAGTTTAATTGACCCCAATCAGAAAACGAGTTGTGCAGGCGGCTGTCCTTGACAGGGCGTTGTGATAAAAAAAAACATTTTTAGGAATGTTACGTGCGTTGGTAGATGTGTCTTAGTAGATCAGTGAGTCATATTTTCTTATTAATGGTTTAAAAATAATCCCTCCTGCAAATAACCATGTTGGTTGTCTAATGTGTATGTGATACAGCCTACGCTTACGCTCAGCAACATTTTATTTTGGCATTCGTTTTCGGTGCTGCCTCATTTGTCCGTAGATATAACCTATCCCGTCACTTATTGCCACAGTAAATCCCATGCCGGATATATGCGTTTTGGTGGATCTCTTAAAAATCCATGAGAGGCATGACACTCATCACGTTTTG